CTCACGGTCTCTCCTGCCCGGGCTGGCTTTGAACCTCGATCCTCAGATCTCAGCCTCCTGAGTAGCTAGGATTACAGGCGTGAGCCACCAGCGCCCGGCAGTCCCTGAGACTCTAATCTCCAATTAATCACCCCCAACCTGGAAGTGGAGCTGTGGCTCAAGTGGTAGAGCACTAACTTTATGCAAAGATTTCAGGGACAGTGCCCAGGCCTTGAACTGAAGGCCCAAGACTGGCATGCGTGTGCATGCACGCACGCACACACACACACACACAACACAAAGCAAGAAAAAAAAGAAAAGTTAGCAAGAACTAATGGGAAAATTAAGGGGGGGAGATTAATAAAAACTCTGTGGTCTAAAATTTTGACTACTACTCATGAGAACGTTAATATGTGTAGTTATTTGCAAAAATTAGCCCCCAAAAGTCACAATTGAAAGAGACTCTTATCCTTTGTGTTTTTATTTTTTGGTGTTGATCCTGGGGCTTGAACTCAGGGCCTGGGTGCTGTCCCTTGAGCTTTTCCACCCAAGGCTGGTGCTCTACCTTTTAAGCCACACCTTCACTTCTGGCTTTTTGGGTGGTTTATTGGCCGTAAGAGTCTTACAGACTTTCCTGTCCAGAGTTGGCTTCTAACTGTGATCCTCAGATCTCGGCCTCCTGTGTAGCAGGGATTATAGGCGTGAGCCACTGTACCCTGACTCCTTCCTTGTTTTATAAAGTAGGTGTGGGAATACTTGGTTGGAGAGGTCGAAAAATAATAATGTCAGGTCTTTAAACCACAGACAAAAATAAGACTTTGGGGACAAAGACTGTATTCGTCAAGGAGAAGGAGACTTCTGCCATCAAACCCAGCCATTTCCTTCCTGACCCCCCGAAAGGAGACTAGCCTAAAAGGCACCTAAAAATGATTCAACACCTAAAAATCAAAACAAAATTCCTATTAAGGCAGTGTCTCCAAACCATCCACATTAAAAATACCAGGCTAGGGAAGCAAACTGTGGTATTCACAGGGCTGGGGTGGGGGTGGGGGGGGATGGAGACTGGGGGGGGCTAGCCAGGCCACCAGTGAGGGACGCCCCCCCTCCTTTTAAATTTAGGGATCTGGTGGTGGTGGTGTGTGGGGGGGGTTCCCTTAGCTGTCAGGGTTGGCCTAGCTACCCCCCCCCAATTTTCTGACTTAAGCCGACCACAAAATTACATCAGAAAAGTACATTTTGGGAGGAGGGCGGGGTCGGAGTTTGAAAAACGGGCCTTCAGCTGAGAAGGAG